ATTTTAAAATTTTTAGTATTCAGCCCGTGTCGCCCCGTTAAGATATTTTTTTCGTCTCAATACAGTCGATCCTTAATTTACACCTGACTATTGCCAAACCTTTCAAATTTCCGATAATACTGCCAACGGCTGATAAGATAGGTATTGAAGTACCTAACATTAGCAACACTGACCGACATTTTGGATCTCGTTGATGTAATAGTTAAAAATATATTTTTATACAACTTCTACAGGATCTAACTTCACGCCGTGTCACTTAGGAATTTTATTTACTAATAGTATACTGCGTCGCTACTCGCTTGAATTTGAGTAAAAAGTATCATTGTATTAATCGGGGATATGGGGGAAGGGACTGTTAATAATATGGACTGATAACTATTATTACTAATTACTGTAGGAAAATAATAATTATATAGAAAATATTGATGATCATCAAGATTTTCTAGAGCGACTAAAATGTCTTACATGCATAAATGAATTTTTATTTGATTTGATTGTACCTCTGTTTTTATTTTAACAAAATACAGCTAATTTTATTCCCTGAAAATGTTGCTTTCCGTTAGTTTTCATAGATGAAAGAATTTTTAAATTTACATTACTGAAAAAACAAATATATCAACTTCATAATATTAGATAGCGAAGTAATCAGTACATTCAAGAAGCAAACAAAAATAAATTCTGTATCAGAGATATTAATAGTAATTCATATACAGGAAATTTAGTATCGCAAATATTATACATCCTCTTTACTGTCACGATAGTCACGAGTTGGACAATAAATCAAATTAAATGAAAAATCATATATTCATATATTGTTTGCGATCGCAAATAGCCCTTTAATGTATTTAAAAATAAAATTATAAAATTTCAAATTTGGAACGTCAGGCACAGAACATCGATGTTATTTTATATACATTTTGCACTTCTTCTCGAACATTCCGTGGCGTATTTATTAAAATCAATGTAAAATGCATTCTATATATATTTTTTATTTGAATTAAAACAAATTAAAAAATTGCAATATTCCTCCTGCAAACATGTAGGATATTTTAGGATAGTAAAGTTTTATATTACCTAATATATTTTCCCTACAATCATCTCTCTATACTTTTATCCTTAAAATAGTGAGAATATAGAGAAGAAAAATGAAAGGGGAAACTTAAGAGACGATGTATTGTAATATATCTTATGTATATATAACTAGTTGTACTCGCGACTTCGTCTGCATGGAATTTAACAAAAAAGTTAATTAGAGATAGTAGCCTAAGTTACTTTAGCCTTATTACATCAGCTCAGCTTATTACATCTGCCAATAAAAGTACCGTCAAAATCGGTCCAGCCATTTCAGAGATTTTAGAGATCCAATTTTATTTATATGTGAATAAATGTCACAATGTTAGTTAGGTACCATACTCCTTCGAAACGGCTTAACCGATTTTTATGAAATATATGCATATTCAGTAGGTCTGAGAATCGGCTACTATCTGTTTTTCATAGCCCTAAGTGATACGGGTTGTCCAACCCTAACTAAATGCTAGGGGTGGACAGCAACAATTTTTTTTATAATGTGTCATTAAAAATACATTTAATCCTAGGTTTTCGCTCTTCTATCTCCAACCCCTATTTTTTAATAGCTATTTTCATTTATATGGCAAAACAACGTTTGTGGGATATACTAGTTATAATATATATAATATTAAGAAACTTCAGAAAGATCTTTGTAATTAGTTTGCTATATCAGCTGCTAAAGTGTGAAATATCGCAAGCAAATGACAACACAACAAACAAGCTTGCGGCCTATTTGATAATTGAATAATAATAATAATAAAGACATTCATTCAGCATTACAGTATTCTTATCTATATATATATACTATACTTATATATATCCTATCTATCTTATTTACTATACAACTTAAAAGCTAAAACATACTAGTAACGCTGAATGTGACTCCCACTCAGCATTTATATTGTAGTACAGTTATACCACAGCGCTGATTTTCAGTGGGGCCACCATTGATTTTATAGTATTTGAATTTGTAGTAATCGTTGTCTTTATACAACACCACTGATACCCCTTCCGACCAATACCTTGTCTAATTTAAACAGGGCATCCTAAGCCGAGGTTCGAACCCCTAGCAGTGCCCTCAGACTAAAGTCGTATCTGTCCAGCAGTAATTCGCCTTCAGTCATTCCATAAGTCCTTCCGCGAGTTTTTAGCGCCATCTGCAATCGTTCGGTGAAGCTGTAAAGGCCAGCTGCAACAAACAACATTAGAATAGTTAGAAAAAAACTACGAATATCACGTTATCATGTGATGGTGTCATATCTCCGTATTGTACAATATCACTGCCTTACAATGCATAACAAAACTTAAACAGGAAGCTGATTATCGGTATAAATAGGCAATTAATAATGGGTAAATATGAATTTTCTATGCAACGCCACAAAAAGCACCAATTTTCAGCTTCACAGTCTATTTAATACAATATTTCATAGCAGCTGTTAGGTCATTTTCTATATGATGCTACGGAACACCCGTGTATGTAAGTACCAACTTTTTATGGCTATCTTATTAAGCGGTTTACGTTATGCTAAACGGTACAATACGTAATCGGTTTCAATACATTGTTGCTAGTTAGGTATTTGTTACAAATAATAGTAGTTATACAGACATAGTAGGCCAATTTTCTATTGGATTTTATATTAGTTTCCAAAAAAAACAAATCACAACACCATCATGTATTCCTGCACTTCCTGAAGGTTTCCTGATAGAGAATTCCAATAACATTAAATCCGCTTTTTGTACCATAATTTATTGGTAAATAAGGGTTAAATAAATAAATAAAATAAAGATACTTACAAACTTTCGCTGTTATAATATTAATAAGATTTCTACTACATAATTAAAAAGGATGTTATTACATATATCCTTTCAGCTTTTGTTTTATGATATGAGAGTCATAAATATACTCATATATATAAATAGAGTCATATATATACTCAATACAATTCCGTGAACTTTACATCTCGTAATTACTAGTCGTACTAACAATATTGACAATTCCAAACATTTTCAAACTACCTCAACAATGTGTTACTATGACAAGGTAAAAATTGTTTACATATCAGCGCAGGTGACTTTACCTGACGACTTGTCCTCAAAACACGCAATATCATATCATATTATATTATCATAAAAAAATTATCTATCTTCTTATCTGAAATGCCGTTGACCTCACATTTCTGTTGCATGATTGCATTATACTGTCCTAACATATTATAATAATATACGTGGTATACGCCGCAAAGCATAAAAAGACAGCACAACCTGAGAAAATGAGACAAAATGATAATAATAACAATAAATAACCTTGGACAATTAACACAACGCCATCTAGTCCCACGGTAAGCAGAGGTTGTGTTATGGGTACTAGACAACTGATATACTTAGATATATGTATTTTTTTAAATACAAACATAATATACATAGGAGACACCCAGACCAATATATGTATTTTTTTAAATACAAACATAATATACATAGGAGACACCCAGACCAATACAAACAATCATACTCATGAATACAAATATTTGCACCGTGCGAGGAGTCGAATCCGCGACCATCGGAAGTAAAGCGGTGTGTTAAACCGCTAGACCACCGAGGCTGTTGTTTCGCGGCAGGATGGATTCGACGCAGGCGGATGCACCATTCCATTATCATCCATGAAATAAAAATAGTGCCTTTCTAACCTTTCGCCTTCAGACCAAAGTCGGATCTGTATTATAGGAATTAGCCGTCCGAAGTCATTTACCTGGTTTCGAATGCCTTATGCATTTTCGGTGAAACTGTAAAGGCCAGGCTGCGGCCAAATCCCTTAGAAACAACCAGTACTTGTGAACCTTGGGTTCAATTTAAATGTTGATTTCAATCTATTGTTTTTATTGTAATTTTGGAACACAGACAAACGAATAAACATCAACTGATCATATTACTGGTTAATTCTTTCTGTGGACACCAAATTTGGATATAATACGTCGCTAGTATATGACTTAAGAGTACAAAAAGGTGTAAATTGACACATTTCAATGTCGAATGGTCGAATTTGGTTTCCAGAATAGACTAGTTGATAGTATAGTAAATCGTGCTTAAGTACACTATAATTTTGGTACACACAGTTCTCAGTAATTCAATACGGATTCAACTCGTAAATTGAATTCGTGAAATCCATTCACGCCTTATCATGAATAAATAATATCAGAAATATATTTCGAAATACAAATAACAATAATACATTGTTATCTTTATTGAATTAATAAGACACGAAATGTTACATAATTATATTGTTCTCAATTGTCCTCTTCCGTTTTGTAAATCTAATTGGATTTTTTTTCGGACTACTCTAATGCTGTTGGCCGCAGCTGGCCTTTACAGCTTCACCGGACGTTAGGGGCGAGTGCAGATGACACTCCGATCCCGCGGAAGGACTTATGGAGCGGCTGAAGGCCAATTCCCGCCTAAAGGTTACGACTTTAGACACCGCTAGGCGGTGCCCTCAGTCCTCCGCTCAAGCTGTCGTAATTTCGAACCCCGTTTGAATTGGACGGGGGATCGATCGTAGGGATCTTATTTAATTGGGTGAAGAAGGGGATTGTTAGTCGAGTTTAATACATAACCTTTCGTATTTAGAGGGTTCGGGGTTCGCCTTAAATTCGGGTGAATTTCTCAGGATGGGCTTACTGATCCGATTTTCCATCCTCCACTGGTGCCCCGCCAGCCTATATCTTAACACAGAAGAAGCGTGTACCCCATATTCATCCATTGAAAAACCTAATTAGGTATATTCATATGTGTATACATCATTATCATCGTGATATTGACTGGTAGAAAATGCCATAAGGCGTTAAGTCCGCCTTATATATGCTACTTTTACCTTTGTAATTTGTGCATAGAAGTTATATGAATAAAAATATTAAATAATAATCATTTCTTTGTTTCAGACAAGATTTACTAAAATGGTACGGATGGGGCTACAAGGATTCCATGTTTCAACTGAACGGTGATGTCGCATACTTCACTGGTAACAGGTAAAATCAACTTTAATGCTATACTCATTAGGTATGTTCTACTAAAGAGACAATTATTGTGTGAGAATTCCAAAAAAATGATTTTTTAGGTGCCCTCAGACTAAAGTCGTATTCGTTAGGCGGGAGTTGGCCTTCAGCGTCCTTCCGCTTGTTTGCAATGCCGTCTGCACTCGCCCCCTATCGTCCGGTGAAGCTGTAAAGGCCAGCTGCGGTCAACTGTATTAAAGTAGCCCGAAAAAATGTATATAGATTTCAAAATAGAATATATATACACTTCGATATACTTCTAAGGATCTGTTTACGATGACCGAGAAAATTTATAACTTCATTATTGCTAGTTAAATAGACACAATGGGAAATAACCAATGTTGTCTCTATTTGTGTGTAAATAAAGACCATAAACAACGTAATATAATGTACATACATACTCGATTATTAGCAGTTGATGTTGACAAACGTAGATTTGTAATTATTGTACATGTCCTAGGTTCTATTGCACTTGTTCTCAAAGTGTGCGTTGTTGTGCAATTAATAATAAAATTGAAATGGAATTATAAGCTGTTGAAAAAATGAAGGCTTGAATAGAATAAAATAAAACAGAATCTATCTATTATAACACATTCGACATCACAACAATGACGTCGCCCACTGTACCCTATAATTTACTAGCTACTCGCCCCGGCTTCACCCGGGTGTACGTGTATTATACATATAAACCTTTCCCTTGAATCACTCTATCTATTAGAAAAAACCGCTTCAAATCCGTTGAGTAGTTTTAAAGATTTGAACATTCATAGGGACGGACAGACCAGCGACAGCGAGTTTGTTTTATGCTATGTAATGATTACGTAATAATTTGGAGATAAAGTCGTATAAAAAAAATTACAATCTCCGTCTTAGATTTCCCATTCCACTTCCATTCCATTCCTTTTATTCAAAATCATTTTCTGTTCAAGGCTGTTAGGTTGTGGAACTCGCTTCCTGCTTCTATTCGGTGCGCTCAATCTCTTGCTAGCTTTAAAGCACCAATAAAATCTCATTTCTTTTCCCTTTAGTTCTATTTTTCCTTTTTCTGTAATCCCTTTCTTTCCTTCAAACTTTTCATGGATATGTGTATATTTATGTCTATGTAGGTATATACCTACATATATGTGTATATTTATATTTATGTATATTTGTATTATTTATAAATTAGTTGTGTTGTTATTTGCACCACCTACTCTTTTTCATATACCTTTGCCGTCTACCTAAAGGTTGCCTGTAAGAGATTGCTTAGCGATAAGGCCGCCTTTGTACCTATGATTGTATATATATATTTATATTCATTAATATTTTTCTATTCTGGTGCAATAAAGAGTATAAATAAAAAAAAATACCAAGTCTAGAAAAATCTTCAAATAAATTTGATTTATTTATTTATTGGCAGATTGTATGTAGTGAATTGCATTCGCGTATCGTTTATTTTATAGTTTAACATAATGCCATACTTTCATGACATTTTCAAAATTTTCACGCAATTCTATTTTTGTCTCCAAATCCCCAAAATATTCGGTCGTACGATGAAACTTTGGAAACCACTGTCCTAATGTGTGGTGTTCTAATGGGCAAACTGCCACGTATACAATGAAGTACGGTTGAACTCTACAGTAAACGTTTGTTATGACGGAATTATTGCGTGCTCAATGGTGAATAGACGATGCATAGTAGGTACTATAATAATAATAAATATAACTTATGTAATACTAACTGTGTCACACAAACTTTTAAACATTTTTTTAAAACATGCTTCGTACACTTTAACACATAATTACACACACACAACACACAAGTGACTTCTAATTAGCGTTGCCAGACTTGTTGTCCCGTATTTCCCGGGACGTCCCGTAGTTTAGGCTCAGTTTAAAATGTCCCGGCGAACTGACTCTGTCCCGTATTCGAATCGTGCTCCGTTTTTTATTATTAAATCGATCGATCTACGCTACACAATTTGTCTTTTGATAAATTGACCCGTGTAAAATACTAAATTCCCGTATTTTTTTTGCCTATTTAAGCGTTTGCTCCTTATAGACTGAAAAAATAAGGCAACTCTACTTCTAATACAATTATCGTATTTATAATTCTTAAAGGAAATGTTCTACTTGTTACTTTTATTTATTGTGAAATTTATAATGTTTGATTTCTACTTCAAAATTATTCATTACTCCATTTGCCACTTTCTGTTTTATTTTCTTTTGCTAAGTCACTGAAAACCTGTTATTGGATTTCTCTAGAAATGTACTGTTTTTTATATGGATGATAATGGAATGGTGCACCCGCCTGCTTTTAATGTTTACGCTGACGGGGCATCAGTGGAAGATGATAAGATGAGCATGAGGTCAAGTCAGTTAGCCCATCGTGACAAATTCTTGGTGAAATTCACCAAAAATTTATTACGATTATTTCCAGGGAGACGCGGGACAAAAGAGAACAGAGATTGACATGATATTGCCAGCAATGGAAGGACCAGTCTTCTTTACTAATACCCCCCTCCGTTCTTCCCTCTTACCTTAGTAGATACGAGTAGGTACCCAGTTTTAAAACAGTGTTGCGTGTGTACACTCAGATATAAAGATGTTTGCATATTTGCGATTCATATAACACAAACAATCGCGGACACAGCTGCAACAAACTATTGCTACAATCGTACAAGTAGACAGGTACAGTCACCTTCATATATATCATACGAATCTGTAATAGACCTACATGAATAAAGATATTTTTAATTTGATATTGAATATATTGGTTGTGAATATTTAGCGGCGTTGTAGCAGAATAAGTCAGAGTACCACTATGTGCAAATTCATTCTAAAAGGAAATGTATAACAAAAATAGTAGGTTGAAAATTGCGCAATGTTGAAACACATTATAATGATAATGATTCAAATGGGGATCGATATTACGACGGCCTGATCCGAGGTTTTAAACCCTAGCGATACCCTCAGACTAAAGTTGTATCTGCCAGGCAGAAGTTGGCCTTCAGCCGCTCCATTAGGCCATACACTGGTTTGGACAGCCATCTGTACTCGCCTCCTATCATTCGGGGAACCTGAAAACGGCCAGCTGCGGCCAACAGCATTAAAATAGGTCGAAAAAAAAACTGCGGAACCAATTTTCATAATGGTTTCAGTGTTGGATAGCCTATTTATTAAGATATGCTAAATAACATCACGCTGTTATATATACCAATAGGAGCAGAACTGTAATGAACATATTGCAAAAAAACAGGGAAATTGTGGCGCAGACAAAGTTGCAAGGGATTATTATTAGGATAGATTAGTATTTTATTTATTTCAGGCTACTAGGTCAATATTGTAAATAACTTATAGACTAACACACATATGAATTAATATTACAATACTAATATATAGAAATTGTCTGTGTGGTCACGGCACTGATGACGGCAATCTGCCATGATAGCGCCGATACACCCCTTTCGGCCAGTAGTCATCCTTCATGAAGGTGGGCAGCATGTTGGTGGGGACCCGGGCCACAAACGCCTTGAAACTTGCTTTGTGACTCGACTCCAGCTGCGTCATCCTCAATGTCAGGTTACTCGTAGTCCGTGTATAGTCGACAATATATTGACAGTAGAATATGTATTAAGTTGACTGTACATAGTATTTAATGTCATCTATTTACAAATGCTGGTTTATCCTCGTCCCTCGTCCATCTGCACACATAAAGACATACATATTCTGAATTATATGTCAATGTACATAAGTACCTAAGTCTAGGGCCTTGCAATTCAATGCAAGTCTCTATATACACATCCACCTAAAAATCTATACTACTCGTATCGTATGAAGAAAGATTTATTTATATAAAAAATACAGTTGAATAGAATTTAGTTTTTCTATGTTCTGTAGATACATTTTTTGTTATATCTTAGTTCTAAGTATGAGTTAAACAAATGCTTATATTAAGGGTTTAATTTCTCCTTAGGCTATAAACTACTCTGTTTAAACTAACTAACTGCTCTAAATATAGATTGACATTAGATTTTTTTTCACTACCATATCTCACCCTTCAACCAAAACAAAGTTTTCCCGCGACTTCGTCCGCGTGGTTTTTTTTTATATTGAAATAAGTAAAATTTCTGAAATTACAGTAGCCAGTAGCGAAAGTCCCGTCAAAATCGGGCCAACCGATTCTGTGAATAGCATAATATATGCATTTAATGAAAAGTTTTTACTTTGAAATTACTTACAATTCAATTTTGTTTATTTTAAGGTACCTCATCGCTGGAAAACCTCTACCTCATCTACAAGCCTGGGCATACGATAACTTTAAGGTAGACCTAACGAAGCAGCCCAAAATACCAGAAATGCCAACATCATTCCCCGAGAGCAAGTTACCTGTTGGAGTCACGAAGGAATTGGAAGAAATTGCCCTGCTCAGCACCGACGGGATGGACCGATTAATAAGAGCACACGGACAAACATTGAAAGACATATCAGATTTAAGAGGCAACAAGTTCCCGAGAATACCTGATGCAGTTATCTGGCCAGAAAGTCATGAGCAGGTAAGCTATAGCCATATAGACCTATATGCCAAGATTTTCTCGAGAGATTACAGCATGAGATTTAAATCCGCTACTATTAGCATGTGTGAGACCACAAACATTCAGTGCGGAAACTTAACCACCGCTACCGGAAGCGTTACGACCTTTCCAACCAGTGATCAAACTTATCGGATATACGCCCATATTACGCACCTGTTTCGCCTCTAAACGTGCCATCATCAGGCAATGAACAGAGGAGTGACAGGGTAGATTTCATGACAAAGAACATATATTTTCAATTAACAAAGAACATATATTTATATAACATATATTATACATTATTCTACTGGTATATTTTTTTTAATCGATAATAATGGTATCGTTCTCCCGCTTGCGCTAACGGTTTACACTAGCGGGGTACTAGTGGAGGAGGATAAGATGAGCATAAAGTCAGTTGGCCCATCGTGGTAAATTCACCACGTTTCCAGGGATAATCGCGTGGTCAACCTGACCTGTTAACAATGGGGTCATGAGTCCTCATTACTAACTATCCCTTCCCCCCTACTGGTATACTAGCGGATAGCAAAACATGTGACGTCACAAAAGGGAGGAGGATGTCTCACAATTGTGACCAGCTCTGACAAGGATGAAGGAGGGGTTATGAAATACGTATGCCATAATTTTTGTAGGGCCAGAAGATATCAGACAAGGAACTCGTTTTTGCATTTATAACATTAGGTAGGATTACAAAACTCTGACGTAATTTCTTCAAAGTTTGGTAGCGACTCTTATTGAGTTATCAGGTGTCAATATATTAATTTCACACGTATACAGTACAGACATTTGAAGGGTATGATATGTACTGTAGTTGTGTACTTTAACAATTAAGTAATCTATGGTTATACGCAATTGAGCCGAAATACATTACAATGTGTATTTTGAAGTGTTTACAGATGACACAATTTAACAAACGATACCGTAGATCATAAATTAACACGTAAACATAAGGCTTACACGGAACTTATAGACATTTTAGAGTTCTGTATCGGTAGAGGAAAAAGTGGAGACCATACACAGGGCCGGAATAATTATTAGGTAGAGTAGGTAACTGCCTACTACCCCAAATGGGCTAGGAGGCCTACGCGAACACAAATAGAATATCGTATAAGATCCGAATCGATACTACATATATTAAAACCCTCAAGAAAAGAGTTTATTCCTTCTTGAGAGGCCGTCAACACATTTCCAATTCCTCTAGTGTTGTGAGTACTCGTTTACCGGGTTTGACTCATTTTGCGGGTACTCGGGGGGTGGTAATCACTCACCATCAGACCATATGCTGGATTTGACCCATATGCTAGAAAAAAAATGTTTTGTAGAGCTATAATTTTATACAAAAATGTTAATGACAATAGGTATTATATATTAATACATACTTAAAGTAAAAATTAATGACATATAAGCAACATATTTTAATATAAATAAGTTGACTTCACTCACATCCCTTCTTAATTTTATTCCTTTTTAAGCAGCGAGATTTACGCTTGCTGTTCATATAATATGACGTCAATATATCCACCTACTATAGCTTAGAATCTAGTTGTACTATTGGTTTGAATATTGGAAGTAATTTAGATTTATTTCGTACAATTATAATAATGTGAATAAAAATAACTATTATTTTTATTATTAAAGAGCTCAAAGGTAATATTAACTTAGTGTAGTCCCAAGTGAGAGCTCTATTTACTAGACAAATAAAAAAACGGGTATCAAACCCGCAAATTAGTCTTCTCCGAATTTACCTGTTTTTTTTTATTACAATAAAATTTCTAAAATAAAGTTAGCCGAAGTTACTCATTATAGCATTAACTATATGCGAGTAAAGATCCCATCAAAATCTATTATAGTATTATATATATGTATGTATGTATCTGAAGATGGATTTAGTTAAAGATATTAATTTGAAACTGCAAACAGACATTTAAATTTTATTTATTTGTATTAATATAATTTTCACTATTATTACAGGTGGAACGGATTGTCCAGTGCGCGTCGAAGCATGATATCGTGATAATACCATTTGGCGGAGGTACCTCGGTGTCCGGCGCCGTAACCTGCCCCCCCAACGAACAGAGACCCATCATTGCACTGGACACCAGCGATATGAACTCCATACTGTGGCTGGACAAGGAGCAGCTACTGGCTAGAGTCCAGGTATAAAGAAAATAAATTAATCAAAAGATGGCTTTGTTTGTTTCTTTGTTGTACAAAACAATCTTTTAATTAATTTATTTTATTGTATATATTGTATTGTACTATTTTGAATTCTGATTAAATGCGCGAACTTTTCATGACACTTGCCAAGGCACTTAGTACATTTTTTTAAGGAGGGCCTTTCAAAGTCGACAAATTGTGAAAATTTAATTTCATGGTTTAATTAATTATTTCTAGAAAACATGTGGCAATTGTGTCATTATATTTAACTGTGGTTTTAGAAATATTATTTAGAGTTACAGTTTCAAAGTTTAAATGAATAAAAATAATAACCACAATAACCGATATATGGTTACAGTTTGACCAAATTTCTAGGTTTTCTTAAACGCCTACTACTAAACTACATGATAAAAAAAAATATTGTTCTCATGATTGTTACAATCAATCCTGTTTCGGCTTGACATTAACTTCTGGGACATACTGTATATTAAATAAATTTTTGTATTCTACTATTCATTATTTCTCCTGTCCATTTCGACAATAGTCCTGTTATTTCTTAATTATGTGATGTGTAAAATCTACGTCATAACAAAACCAAAGGGTTTATATATTTGGATGCACTCGAGCAAGGTTGTTAGTAATGTGGACTAATAACTATTGCTAGCAATGTACCATGTCAGGTTGACCTCCACAGGGTTCCCTTGAAAACCATCTTGATAAATTGCATTTGCCAAGATGACCTAAATGACTTGACTTCATACTCATTTTATTATCATCCACTGGTACACCGCCAGCGTAAACCGTTAGCGCAGGCGAGTTCATTATGCCATATTCATCCATTAAAAAAGGAACTTTAAATTTACCCGTAAAAAAATGGTATGTACCATACATACCATTTTTTTTATGGCTAAATTTAAAGTTCCTTGAAACATTGACCTTTTATCCTACTGTGTCCATAATTCTAACGTGGAAGTCATCTACGTTCACTTACGTGGGTTTACGTAATTCTGAAGACAAATATTAGCGCATTTTATGTAGTTTTTAGTCCATTGAAACATTTTCACACTACATCGTTAATTTTTATTTTATTTTAACACAAATAGTCAATACAATAATAATTATTTGTAAGTATATGTATATACAGTACATTGTCATCGAATACGAAAATGTATTTGTTACAATTATCTTATATATAAAATTCTCGTGTCACAGTTTTCGTTCCCATACTCCTCCGAAACGGCTTGACCGATTCTCATGAAATTTTGTGAGCGTATTGTGTAGGTCTGAGAATCGGCCAACATTTATTTTTCATCCCCCTAAATGTTAGGGGTAGTCCACCCCTAATTTTTTATTTTTATTTTAAGGCAAAACGTTTGCCGGGACAGCAAGTATTAATATAAATATTAGTGTTAACATAATGAACTCAGAAAAAATTACGTCTACATTTACATATTACATTTTGCAATTATTAGAATCATTAGTCCAAGTGCCGTTCTGGGCGTCTTTCCCGTTCTTTTTTCTTTCTTTGTCTTGATGCCCGAGGTGTTGGGTCTATCTCCGTCAATGGCAAGCATGCCATAGCGCGGGCATGCTCGCCACTGGCGGCACTTACACTGGCGGCTCGGGAAGGTAAAAGCCCCCAAAACCGGAACTTGGACAAACGATCCTACTAATTATGAAGCATATCTCAAAACCAATAATTTCACTGTAGACCACTAAATTGTATGGAGATTTTGGTGTCACTCTTTAGATTAGATGTTTTTTTCTTACTGCAAATAAACGGTACAGTATCATCTGATATAATATAAACTTTTAGCAATTAGGCCGCCATATTGTAACAATACATGTGTCCTTTGTTATATTGTTTGTGCTTCTTCTTTACTGTACGTTGCAAATAAAGTATATTCTATCTATCTATCTATAAAACAAGTAAAACATGGGGCGTAAAAAAAACTTAATTATCAGATAGTACGTAAAAAGTTTAAACTTATTATAAGTATTAAGACAACAGTCCACATTAACAATCTCCTTCTCCCTTGCAGGCCGGTATTGTGGGTCAGGATTTGGAGAGAGAGATGCGAGCCCGTGGATTCACGGTGGGCCACGAGCCTGATTCGTACGAGTTCTCAACGCTCGGAGGTTGGGTGGCGACCAGGGCCAGCGGCATGAAGAAGAACACATATGGGAACATAGAAGATCTCATAGTACAAACTAAAGTAGGTTTAGAAATCTGCGTAATTATTTTATATATAAAAATGAAATGACACTAAAACTCGTGAACCGCGGGACTGATTTGACTAATTTTGGTTATAAAATATTTGAAGAACCTTTAATAATAATTAAACCATTACCATATTTAATAATAATTAATGAAGAATAATTAAACCTTTGTTGGAGACAAAGGTTTAAGTGGAGAAAAAGTATAATAATTTTTAATAATAATTAAACCAACCATATTTAATAATAATTAATGAAGAATAATTATTTAAATTTAAGTATGAAATAATTGCATGGGAAGTTGTAGTCAAACAGCGTTCTGTTCTGTCATATTATTTAATTCTAAAGTTCGCGGGGTCAGCTAGTAATAACAATCCAAAATACATAAATTATTTTTTTATGTACATACATAATATACACAGAAAAAGCTAAATATGTATACCGTACCGTACACAAAGAGTAAATGCATATTAAACAAAATAATATAGATCCTTATAATTGTATGTCAAATTCTACGTAGGTGGTGACAGCGCGAGGTGTTTTGGAGAAAAATTGCAGAGTACCAAGAATTTCGTGCGGCCCCGAGTTTGAACATATTGTGATGGGTTCTGAGGGCTGCCTGGGAGTCGTAACAGAGGTAACATTTATATATATATGCTTTATTGAGATATTGATTGTATATAAATGAATAAACATCTTTCACGAGGAAGTTGTTGACTTTACTATTACAACTTAACTTGTATGGAATGTATTATAATTCTTGAAATAATAGAAAATCACAAAATTTAAAATCAAAATCTGTCGTTTAGTAAGATAAAACAGGAACATAAAAACATTGGCTTTGCCTTATAGTAGAAATACAGATGATTCTTTTTTTTTATTAAAAGACCACAAGTTGTAATGTTTTTGTGAACGAATTTGTTAATTTTTGTATCAATAAATTACTACTATATACTCGTTTAATTTACCGAGGCCGTCTGTTGAGATAGCGCTGTGTGAATTATTCAGGGTCATTATAATTTTAAAAATATAAAAATTCCATGAAAAATATTACAGGTGACAATAAAAATCCGTCCATTGCCGCCAGTGGTGCAGTACGGGTCCCTCGTTTTCCCCGATTGGGATTCCGGGGTTGAATTCGAGCGTGAGGTCGCCAGGCAGCGTCTCCAGCCGTCCAGTATACGACTTATGGACAATGAACAGGTGAGTTCTGCATAAATTCAGATATATCATTATTTATTTATAATTATGAGTATATAATAAATTCTCAATATAAAATAAATTTGAAATAAACACATGGACCCTGTTTAAAGGCGTGTAGAAATTTGTTAATTTATAGATAATTAGTCCATACTAATACCACAAAAGCCAAAAATGTCCGGCTCCTACAATTAGCCCCGGCTCTAGGAAGAGGGGCAACACGAGGTCCTTTGTCCGGGCGGCAAAATTGAATTTGCAGATGAATACACAACTCAGAATATTTGACGTACCTTTGGCAACTTGACCACTGACAAACCGCCGACAAGGAAATTGTTTCGGTTCACTGTCTGGTCCTCAATCTTTAATAAAAGGCGAATGATTTATGCGTTTTGAGGGAAAACCAGTGTTTGTGTTCAATGCATTTGTTAAGACAAAACTGTCAAAAAAGCCTCAATAATTTACAGCAATACAAATGCAAAACGGTGTCCCGAAGCGGCTCGGTGGGGGGAGTCCTAGGGGGATGGCGTTTTTTAGATTTTGCGCCGCATCGAAAATAATTAAGATCCGAATTTGCCTACAATACGTCTGATAGAAATCCTTTTACTGTATAATAACTACAATTCCTTAAGCTTTCTCTTAATTATAATAAATTTAAATTCTTGTGCTGACTCTGCATTTTTAATAATTTACAGTTCCGCTTTGGGCAAGCACTGAAATCGGACTCATCATGGGGAGGAGTCCTTCTAGATGGACTGAAGAGAATCTACATCACCCGTATCAAAGGTTTTGACCCGACGAAGCTGTGTGTTGTGACGCTGCTAATAGAAGGCGCGGCGGACGATGTTGCCGAGAGGGAGAAGAAACTGAATAGCATAGCGGCACAGTTTGGTGGTATACCAGCCGGTGCTGAGAACGGGGAACGAGGGTATACGCTTACCTTCGTTATTGCTTACCTTAGGGTAAGTCTGAGAGTCTTGGGAATATAACCACAACTTAACTTAAAAATAACTTACCATGAAAATGGCGAACGAGAGTATAAAGCTTACCTTCGTTATTGCCGCTTACCTTAGTGTAAGTCTGAGAGTAAATAAATTACCGTGAAAATGGCAAACGAGAGTATAAGCTTACCTTCGTTATTGCTTACCTTGGGGTAAGTCTGAGAGTCTTGGGAATATAACCACAACTTAACGTAAAAATAACTTACCGTGAAAATGGTGAACGAGGGTATAAGCTTACATACCTTCATTATTGCTTACCTTATCTAAGGTAAGTCTGAGAGTCTTGGGAATATAACGCAAAGCTGGAAGGGTATTGTTAGTAATGCAGATTAATAACCTCATCGCTACCAATGTACCATGTCAGGTTGACCTCTATGCGGTTCCCCCTGGAAACCATCATGTTAAATTCCTGGTCAATTTGCCACGATGGGCTAACTGACCTAACTTCATACTCATTTTATCAACCTCCACTGGTGCCCCGCCAGTGTATACCGTTAGCGCAAGCGAGTACATCCATCCATACACATATAACATCCATCCCTTGAAAAGACTTAAGGCATAACGGCCCAAATACGGAGTTAATGCCGTAAACCTATACCAATATAACCTTTCTTTTCTTTGAGAATATCCTCATGGAGACCCGGTCGCCCCGGGGCAAGGCAAGCGGGTACAGTGATACTCCTATTCACTAAAAACTCGGATGTCCCTCCTCTAATGTCATATCTTTGTCATAAATTTTGATCACTACCCCTATCCGGTTCGGTTAGTTACTTCAGTTGAGAAATTGGCAAAAATCTGAACTGATTTTATTCACGTCATAAGCTTTTACCACTATCCCTAAACATATATCGTTCAGTTCGGATTGATACTTCAGTTGACAATGGACAAGAATATCAACTGCTGCATTTATTCACGTCATAATTTTTATGCCTATCATCCAGTCAAGAAGAGGCAACAAAAGAAACTCAACTGGTACTTTATGCATTGTTTTGTTCCCAGGATGTAGCAATGGAATACGGGATCGTGGCAGAATCGTTCGAGACGTCAGTCCCGTGGGACCGCGCGGGCGCGCTGTGTCGTCGCGTCAAGGACCGTGTGCGGGACGAATGCGCCACGCGCGGCATCCAACACTATCTAATCTCGTGTCGTCTCACGCAAACGTAATAAATATTTCTAGAAATATCATCAATAGCTGCCTTTATTGCCGCTCCATAATAATAAAGACAGACAGACATTTATTCAGCATTACAACAGTATTCTTATCCACAATAATATTTACTATATACAACTTAAAAGCTAAAATATACTGTTTTTTTTGAGTGAGCATATTTTTATAACTCTTGTAGCTTCTTTTAAGTTACGCTCACTTTAGCAGAGAATGTTAAATATTGATTATCCTACTCAACATTTATACGGCAGTATAACTAAGTTATATATATACATATATACCAATGTACCAAAGCGCTGATTTCCATTTTATTGATTTCATAAATCCTGCGGGTTTGAAGATAGATGGTAATCTATCTGTACTTGTCCCTATTTTCGTACTGTTAAACTATAAAGGTCAGCTTCGGTTAAGGCCGAAGAATAGTTCGAAAAAAGTAACCCTTTTATATCTAGGTTAGGCTAGGTTATATCTAGGGAGGATTTATCTATGTTCGTAGGTACATTACTATAATTTGACCAATTGTACTATATTATGTAAAGTAATATATTAATTAACTAGGGATTTTTAAAAGTAAGGTTATGTTACTAATGTAGTATTAAGGGGGTCTTCCTATGTGACGGCCTGTTTTTTAGGGATATTTTAGGATTTTTTTTCTACGACCAGTAAATATTTAGAGCTTCAAGTTTTTTATCATTTATTAACACATATTTGGACAGTATAAATATAAAATTTCAGCTAAAAATATTCAGTCAAACTAGAGTTACAGCGCTCTGAACACCCCCATTATTCAAAAAAAATTTTGAGCTCCCACTTCCTCCACGATTCCGGCTGATCGGCTTATCTGAAAAAAAAAAAAATATATTAGCGGCGTTTTAATTTGTAGGCTTAAAAGCACGGAATGACCTATAATCAAATGAATATAAAAAAAATTGGATTTTTGATAGACATTTGAAATAAAAGTTGCAAATTAGGCGTTTTTTTTTTTTCACAGTTTTTTTTTGGTATAAAAAAAATCGAAGTTTTAAAAATTTTCGATTGATAATAGTTCATTCCATGCGTTTACATATATTGAGTGTGCCCTGTAAATTTCAAGTAATTCGGTCCAGCCGTTTCTGAGATACAATGGAGGAAAGTTTGAAAAACACAGTTTTGAGAAAAACGCGTTTAAAGTTTCAAGTCCGTTAAAAACTATTAAAATATCAACTTACTCTCAATCGGCGATGCCTGGTCCATAGAGTATTCCTTCCTCTTCCTCGTGAAACTCTTTTTTATAGCAGATTGTTCAGCTCTTGAGTCAATCCTGGCTTGTTTAACGACATCACTTACGCGCCGCTCAGAGCGTAAGATTCGCTTTTCATCCCGTTTCTCAACATACGCTTGGGCTTCATTTTTGCAACAGGGCATCCCATAATCGACATAACTTTTAAAATACCTTGAAAACCTTCATTAAAGATAATAACTTCCAATTTTGGTCACAATGTAGTTACAATATAATCAACAACTTAAGAATGAAGATGTTTAATAGGATTCTATGAGAAATTAATTTATTCTTAATAATTGTAAAATTGGATTTCGAAAGTCCAAATCAAAGAATTCAAAGATTCGTTATTGTTTTGTGTCTCTGCTCCTAAACAACGAATTAATAATTCGTCTTTCGATAAATCTTCGAAAACCGGTTTGATAGCTTCTTGGACCTGCGGAATTAGAGGTGGTTTATCGTGATGAAATTGGTCCAGTTCATTATTAGCTTCAGCCTTACGCCATTTACACCAACTGTCTTCGCCTTCTGGACAAAATTGATGCTGAGGGTTTTCATCAGAAGAACATTTGTGATAGTACGTTGCCCAAACTTCCTTTCTCATATCTTCAAGCGAATCTGGATGGCGTCGAATTGCTAATCCGTAGAATTTTGTAATTTCTTGGATAACTTTATCAGTAAGTTTACCTGCTCCTTTTCTGTTTAAGTCTGTAGAAACGTGTCTAAACTTGTATAAACAAATATATTAATAAAAGGGAGGCCAGGTATAAAGCCGACGGTACACAATAGGCCCGGTCTCTAACTGCCAACTGTAGTGCACCGCTCCGAACCGCTCTTTCTTTTACCTGCTGTATCTTTAAAACGACTTCGAATTTTCTAAAATCGCTTTACTACCGTATTCTAGACATGTTAAGGGAGCAATTTATGAAAAAAAAAAATCGATTTTTTCAACCCATCACATAGGAAGACCCCCTTAATACTCTGATAATGTTGAAAGTAATTCTAAACCGATTTTAATGAAATTTGGTACACAGATAGCCTAAACCATGAGAAAATACATAGGCTACTCTTTTATGCATGCAAGATTGTATGGAATTATCGTAATTTTTAAAGCTAGAGGCTTGAAGTTTATTTTTTAGCCTATTGAATAAATATAACATTCAGTTTGTAAAAAAATCTGCTCGTAAAATAAAATAGAGGATGAAAGTTTACATGGAAATTCAAGTCATTTTATAGGTAGATAGCTACTACATTACATTATATCATGTTTTGAGCAATTTTTTTATAAAAACGTAGCATCCTCATTCGTAATTAACGACCAATGTTATACTTATTTTCAGCTACGACGCAGGATGTTGCATTTATTTCTATTTTGCACACAATTCGGAAAAGTTTATTGATCCCGTTGCAACCTACGAGGAAATAGAAGAAGCCGCACGAGACGAAATTATCGCTTCTGGCGGTAAGTATCAACGTCCAATCACAGTTAAGAATTTTCACGCCAATCAAATTTAAGAAAACAGGTATAGACAAAGACTACGCCGGACTGAAAAGAGATGTATCTTGAAAATAAAAAATATAATTATTTAAAATACTGTTTATGTGTTATTCCTGCGATTTTAGGTTTTGGATGAAGTTTATTTTTAGCAACTTTGTGATTTTCGTGGCTACATTATCTACGGATATTGCTTAGTATGAAATATTTAAAGGTTTAGTTGTTTTATAAATACCCTTAAACAGTTTTATATTTTCTAATACTTATGTATATAGTATTAACATGAATTTTCCAAATTGTAGATGTGATGCCAAGTCTTATTAATGTTATAATTGTGATAGTTTGCGAATATGGATGGTTAATTGTATAAACAGCTGTTGTCTTACTCTTTCATTCTAATACTATGATTGTTTGGATTCGAATAAAATTTGGTACACAAAAATATTGTATCGTAGCTATTATTACAGCTATTATTTAATAGTAAGATAAGTCAGCATCGCTGATATAATACTTGGTATACACATAATAATTTAAATCTTATAGGTTCAATATCACATCACCACGGTGTCGGAAAGTTACGCAAGAAATGGTACACAGATACAGTGAGCGAGCCTGGCCGAGAATTACTCTTGGCTATGAAGAGGGTACTGGATCCGGATAACATTTTTGCATTAGGAAATATGGCCTTAGATGAATATGGTCGCGAAGATAATTTTATAAGAAGTAAATTATAGACAAATTATTTAATTATTAAGTATTTTTAACGCATCGTAAATCAACATTCCAATTTTGGTCACAATGTAATGTTACAATATAATCTGCCAAAAAATATAACCTTATTAACACAGAACATTATTAATACATGTTTTATTTCAGTGGATTGTATGAGAAATTAATTTATTCTTAATAATTGTAAAATTGGATTTTTGTTATAATGTTTTTATGATGCTGACATCAGTTGTTTTGCTGTATAGCTAATTTTAATAAATAGCCCAATTAAAGGGTATGAGGATGTTTTGAGGTATAAACCTTTTATACCTCAAAACATCATATCGAAATTTATTCAAATAATGAAGTACTAAACTGCAGTTTGTAATTGTACAGCCAAGTGTAATGCAGATTTTTATTATCGTGTCCTTTTTTTTTAGTATGTATTCTAATAAAGGTGTACCTCTTTCAAAACATGTAAACACATTAAAAATAATAAATATGCATGTAGTTGAATTTAGAAACTTTTTTATCTCAAAAGCTTTGGAAAATATTATAAAAAATATGTATACTGTGGAGTATACACTGTTTTTATTCCATGTTTTACTAAATTTCTTTTGGAAGGCTTCTATGAGTACCTGAGAAATTTTGAGCAGTACTTTATACTTATTTATTATATTGTATTTCAGTCTAGAATATAAAATAACACATGCTATTTCTAGCACATGTAAAACACATTATAAAATATATAAATTGCTCAATCTTAGATTAAATTTATCTGAATAACATATTATATTTACATAAACATTCCTTTTTTAATGTTAATACCTAGTACGATTTATTGTAATATACATTGAATTGGTTTGAATTGGTATCAGAATAAAAAATAAAATTGTATTTAAAAGTGTATCATTGATTTTTTATGCAAATTATTCACATAGAAATGAACATCGGGTGCTATCTGTGACACTAATAAAATGTTTATTATTTAAAACTTTCGAAACAGCGGGAAGTAATTTTAGTGCGAGTATCCCATTATATCAAAAGGTTTGTAAGATTGTATACCCTTGAATCGCTGAATATTCCATTGGACATACTACATCTCGCTTATAATAATTATTTCTAAATTTTCTTTAATAGATTATAAGATTGACTGACTGAATTTAATGGTGGTACACCAGTGAACAATTTGTAGATGAGGTTATAATCAGGTCATTAAGTATATTGATTTAATTTTTAAGATATTTAATTCATTTTGAAAGTTTATTATAAAAGAATTAGCTACAGGACATACGATTTCTTAACATGGCACTGTATGTATAAAAAGCGGAGTAAAGTGGAAACCTACCACAATGGGACCTACGAGTATATGTGGTATATCTATACCACTTACAATTTACAACATTATTTATCTTAGAGTGGCGTACCTATATAGTAAACTGACTTAAGTATTATTTTTCAGTATGATAATATTAATACAAGTAATTAATATTATCATACTTATAAAAAAAAATTAACAATTACCTAATCATGATAAATTAACACGGTGAGCTTTTAGCGGCTATGATGGGCCTGCTACTATTTATGTTTTAAGTCTTCTTTCTTGAGCAGTAGGAAGAGGGAGGTGAAAAAAAAGAAATGGCACCAGTTATCGTAAATATGTCATCAATTTACATAATGAACACAAATATTTATTCCTTAAATATACCACTTAAATTAAATAAAACATCAATATAGTATACCTACATTGTCTTACATAGTTACCTATTGTCTATCCTAAACCATAGTTTATTATATTTTGATTGTTTTTTACCATGTACTTAATTTTAGTGTGTAATAATAAAAGGAATTAGTTTCATTATATTATTGGTTTCAAACTTATTTTAATGAATTAATAATTGACGTAATTGTTTTTAATTATCAGATTAAAAACAATTACGTCAATGTCATAATAATGTAGGTATATAAATACAATAGTTCCTCACACAGAACATCAATATTCTAGTTCCTCATGTTAGAATATGTACATTTTGAGGATACATTGTTTTGCTCTTGTAGAAAACAGTAATTGTCGATTCGAAAATGTAATATAGCATAGACAAAACTGGCTTAATTAGTCATCTTTTGGCATCAAAAATTAAAATATAAAAAATTATTTTACCTTCTGTGACTGTAATATTTATATTTATCTTATTGGGGGTAGCTTCTTTAGAAATATCAAGTCGGCAAATTTCTTTAAGCCATCTAGTTCGTTTCAGTGAATTGTGAAATCAATATGATTAACCTTTTTATGCCCTTTAGGGCTTTTTTTAAATTTGAAAATGTTTGCACAGACAACAATATATTCCGTATGCATTACAAAATAACTGTACTTATGTTGCTGGTGTTTGCGTTACTAGTCAGTACAAAGCAATTTTTCGGGGAGCCCATACATTGTATGAGTGATGGTGAAAATGATGCCGACGCCGATGCAGTCAACAGCTACTGTTGGATATATGGGACCTACACGCTGAGGAGTAGGCTTGTTGGTGAGATTTTGCATTTTATTGGCTATAACTCACGGTTTATTTTTTTCTTTCGAGTCAAAATGACTCAGTTCAGTAGCCTTTTAATGGAATTGTGCAACTGCCTACGATAACGGTATACGCTGGCGGGATGTGGAGAGGATGATAGGATGACCATGAGGTCAGGTTACCAACAACATTGTGGCAGATTCTCCAGGACTGATGATGGTTTCCAAAGGGACTGCATCAAGGTCCACCTGACATGATACATTACTATCAATGGGACTACTCAACACCATCACTAATAATCAATTCTTTTTACTGATAGTATGATTAATATAATTCTTAGTATCAAATTGAACCATGCTTAATAACTAGAATAAATTAAAATAAAAAACACCTATAATGAGAAGTTATACCTGATTTTTTTCTTAATATAATATGGTTTATAATCAAAATATGTATCCTGGGAACTCTCCAGTATGTGACACCTGAAAATTATCACTTGTTTTATCATATTTTTACAATTAGGAAGATTGCAATTGTTATCATTACTAGTTAAAAAACAATCAAATATTATACCAACATCTATTTTAATTTTAATGTCTTCAATTATGACAGATGTAATGAATATGTCAGCTAATCAAAACAAATTTTCATTTTATTTGTGGATAATGATGATGAATTGTGAAGAGAGTAGCCTATGCTAATTATGGTGTATAATGGTAAAATGTGTAAAGCCTACATTAATAAATTACTAGGCAAGACCTATGAGAATTTCCAGGCATATTATATGGAGATGGACCTGATAGGGTACAGTTAATGAATAACCAGACTAAACATCTCCCCCTCCTTCAGTACTGTGAGTACTACTGTAATTGATCCAAAGCATGTCTTGTGGAGGGTGAGATATTATAAATATGTGTGCAAAACTTTGTAGGCCTTTTTATGAAAATCTCATAGATGGAGGAGCATGAAAATTTTACACAGTTATAATTTGTATAGAGAAGTGGAGTATGATAATATTTTGTTTTAAATTATGCATATATACTAATACATTAAAAATAAAAATAAAATGTATTACATGTGTTACCTATTTGACACACATACATAGCAGTATAGTCTTTGACAATACAAACTTAATAATGTTCAAACTTGTTATTAAAAATAATTATGGTTGAATTTCGACCATTACACAACCACTATTAATAATGAAGTCTATTGACCCCATTAGTAGAGTATCCTATCAGGTTGTAACCTTCCTAGAATCATCCTTTTATCTACCACAACTCTAGTAATGCTAAGGTAAGAAGTAGCAATATTAAACTTTAAATTAATTAAGCAATATTAAAGTATTCATAATAATAACTTAATTTTTATAATGGGAAATCCAGTATATATATATATAGAAATAGATGATGAATGTAAGTCATTTTGTATTGTCTTAAAAATAAATATATATACATAAATATTGTTATTTTCCTTTTCCTTAAATGGAATATCCTTATATTGGTTCTGTAAATGTGATTTACATGTAAATAATACAGATTTTCCCTATGTCTTGATTATTCCTGTTTGTATAATTGATTCATGCAATACTAACTGGCCTCATGGCATTACCATGTCTTGTTTTTTTAATTTGAATTCAAATAATCTAAGATACACCTAATGATCTTATCTGTTTTTTTAAGAGTACACTTTTATGACATTTTTACCTATCATTTGAAAGGTATCATGTCCTATTCTTTGCATTTAAATTTTTAAATAAAGTAACTGGGTACTTTTTTTTTTTAATCTAGGGTACATCTAAAAGTATATATATTCTAATAAATTGGAAAAGAATTTTGAAAAACAAAGTACATTCAAATTTTTTTTAGAAAGTTAGTTAAAAATATCCAATAAAATCATTTACTCAATCTTTAAAAGTCACTTCTGAAATATTCACTATAATAGAAACAATACTATATGTAGTTATATGATATATACCAGATAAATATCATGTTTCATCAAAATCCGTTCAGTAGTTTTTGCACGAAAGAATAACAAACATTCATTCATACTCACAAACTTCAGCATTTATAATATTAATATAGGATTTCTTTATTAACCTTGTTTTCAGGTAAAGAAGGGAAAAATATTGCTTACTTTGGAGTGGGGCCTCCTACCGAAAATGATCAACAGATCAAGCACACTTACTACCAGTGGGTTTGCTTTGTGCTCCTTGGTCAGGCAATGATGTTCTACATCCCTCGTTACCTGTGGAGAGTCTGGGAAGGTGGGCGCCTGAAGGCACTTGCTGCAAATTTAAGTAAGCCTCTCCATATTTGTATTATATGCTGAATTTAATAACTGTAAACAAGTTGTTTGCTTGACAATTTTTTATAATTATTAGCCTTAATTACGATACTAATGTGATGTTTAATTGTTTACACAGTCCCTTGTAAACAGTTTAAATGGAAAAAACAATGTGTTTAGAAGCTGGTTTTTTAGGTAGCGCATATTAACTACAAAAATAGTGAAATTTTACCAAATTTGTCTGCTAAACCAAAGGATTTCATGAATTATTTTGCATTACTTAACAACAATTATATTAAATACTAGCAAATATCATAATCTTTCAAATAAGACTACTTTTATGGGGGCTACGTGAAAACATGAAAAATAAATAGATTCAGTGAACTCGTAAAGTATGAGATATTAAATTTAAAAATGCCTGTCATTCAGAGGGGTGAGGGGTGAGACTCCCTTTGTATAGTGTTTCGTCGATAAAATATAACGTACGATACGTGGGTCAATTATCGGAAATCCAATACCTAATACACTATATAATAGTATTTATTATATATACAGGTTATTTGTATACAATATTGCCATTTGTTTCTAACATAAGTTAATAATATTAATACCTGCTTATGAGGCTTAAACCCAGTTCCCAGGAGTTGTTGCCCCCAGGCTTGATGGTGGGGCAAAAGTATTATCCACGAGACCCCAAACTTCACCCATTTAGGGGGTGCAGACGCCTCTGACATTGGATACAATTATTTCAGAACTATGTATGCTTGAAATTACTTGACTTTTTGTTAAACTAATGTTATTTTTAATTATTATGATCAGACAGTCCAATTGTGCCCAAGGAGTGGTCAGAGAACCGTCGCAGGGAGTTGATTTCTTACCTGGCCAATACAAATATCTTCAGCCACAGTGCATACGCCCTCCGTTATGCATTTTGTGAAATTCTCAACCTTATCAATGTGGTAAGCCTTGTTTGTGTGAAATATATTGAAATTAAAAGGGGCTATCATGGCACATAGCTGTGAGGACAAGTTTCCATTACTTGTGGGGAGGCAGTTATCTAGTACCCACACACGCTAACACAAGCTTTAGCTAGCTTAACTTGGGTCTAGATGGCGCTGTGTGAATTGCCTTGAGACAAAAAATTATGACTACTTTTTATACCACAGTGGTGGCGATCAAGCAAACATACCATCTGATGGTAAACAGTAACTATAGTCTATGGACATCTGAAACACCCCCCGTGTGCCATGTTCGCGTTTTCGACCCTTAAAAACCTCAACCACATGTTGTAGAGAACACCTTTGCATGTAGTTTATTTAACAATATAGTGTGTGGGACAAACTATTTCAGGACATTTTATCACCTTACAAGTTTCCTTAGATACATTAAACACATTAGTTTACAGACACTTTTTAAATAAAGGTAAGTTGTCTGTGATGATAATAATAATAAAATAATATTTGCAGGTTGGTCAAATATTCTTGCTGGATATATTTCTGGGTGGTGCGTTTCGCAATTATGGCGCCGCAGTAGCAGTATTCACGCATATGCCTCGTGTACCTGATAACATGATTGATTTCGACGTCGTCAACCCCATGGATCAATTCTTCCCTAAACTAACAAAATGCTGGCTGAGGAAATACGGACCGAGTGGGACTTTACAGCTTAGAGATAGACTATGTGTACTCCCGCTGAACATCGTTAATGAAAAGATATTCGTTGTACTGTGGTTTTGGTTGATACTACTGGCCTTTGTGTCAGCATTAGCGGTACTGTTTCGCTTGCTTGTCTTCACTCTAGCTCCACTACGCACAATGATGGTAATGGGCCAAATTAAATACACCAAGAGAAGTATAGTTTCAAAGTTAATTAAGCGTTTCGGGTATGGCGATTGGTTTATCCTGTATTTGCTAGGCAAAAATATGAACCCAATTATGTATAAAGATTTGATTATAGAAATTTCAAAGGAGTTTGAACGTAAAACCTTTGTGGTTTAATTTGTATCCAGTGTAGCAACACTAAGCATAACTTAATATTATTCTACTAACCAAATACAGTAATACCCCTTACTTTTATATTATATTGTGCAGAGGAGTCCTTGCGTATGAGAGCCTGAGTAGTAATAAGGAGATGTGTCACAAATGTTGTCGTTCATAAAAATGTATATATTACATTTATGTAATTATGTCTAATACCTATGATTTGTATTAGGCCATAAATAATATTTCCCGTTGCACTTACTGTTCTACGAGGTGGTGTCTATTATTTCGGTATAGTTATATCAAAATCTTGAAATTGAAGTAGATTTTTCACTTAAATTAAAAACTAATAAACAAATGTTGAACATTATGAAAATAAAAAAAAATATTATTAATCCTAGTTGGGGTATTACTGTAATATATTTTTTTTTTCTTGTTATTGTCGAATTGTTATTTTTTTTTTTTGTAATTTGTAATGTTAATTTTTTGTCTTAATTTGAATTCTTAATTAATATGATTATATTTTTATGCTAGGTTCATAAAAATTACCTAGTAATGTTTTTTAAGTTTAATATGATTTTATTTTGTTTGCTATTATCAGTGATTATGTGACTTTAATCCCGAGTTATTTTTCAGTTTATTTTTTCTTAATTCTAATGTAACTGTTACATAGTACTATAATTATCTATGCTGTTATTGCCAATTTAAGTATTATAAGGAGGATTTGTTTAATTTATATTTAAGAAAAAACATGGTTGTGATTTGCTTTGCATTTAATAACTAGATAGTAAAAAATTATAATACTTAATTTAATTTATTGTCAATTCTAATGTTTACAGTACAGCAAGTACCTTATCGAAACAGACAATAATTAGGACAATTGTTATTAATGCTAAGAAATATTGTGCCATATTTTCATAAAGTTTTCAAAAAAAATCTGTATTTTTAATACTGCACTACCCTTTACAATTCATTTAGCACAAAACTATTAATGTTAAGTGAATTTAAAAAGTCAGCATTCCATAAGGAATAGGTATTATATAGTAACTTTCAGGTTCGGAATACCAAATGGTACTTAGAAGAAATAATTATAATCTATACCATAACTATGAACACAACTTTTAAATTAATTTTCACTTGATTAAACATGGGTAAAGACAAATATTAAAAACTTCAGATAAATGTATGTAGTTAACAGAATTTAAGATAATTTAATGGTGGATAAATATTTACCATTAAATTGTTAAAATACCACAAAAGTATCAATATATAGATACTTTATATATTTAAAGTACATTAGTGCCATATTAGTAAAGATAAGTATGGGTTTTGTTTTCATTAATAGTTTTGTTGTGTGCATTATTTTGTATAGTCTATAGTTGAATTCAATTTAATCCTTTATTTAATTAAACATTATTTAGACAATACAATTTGAACACAAGCTTCTTTATACACAATAATTTACCAACATTATACTATTCTCAAGTAAAAATCGGAATGAGGCATCTCAACCATATAAATAAGCAATTTAAAGTTTTTTCAGTAAAGATTATTTCTATTAATCATGTTATTTCATGCACAGAAATGAAGTATTTCAATTTAGTGGCATTATATTTGAAAAAATATAAATAATATAAATATAAACTCAACAGCAGTTTATTTGTACAAAATAATATTATAGCCTTCCATAACTGATTTCAAAACAAATTAAAGAAAATTAAGCTATTAACAAGGTATGTAATCAATTTAAAGTTTATGTACATATTGTTTAATTTACTAAAACATACAGTTAGATATTTTAAGTTAATTGTGATTGGTAATAATCATACGCAAGTTTGTAATTACAAAAAGAGAAAACATATTTTTTCTAGATCTACAACAAATGTTTCTAGAGCTATTGTGTTTATGCCACTATAATGTAAATATCAAATTTAAATTATTATAAACTAGTCATAGTCATGCTGACATGAAATGCAATATTTTTTTTTTAATCAAAAGTGACTTAATTGTGTAATACAGTTGCTAGTAATTCTGAAATGTAACAGATGTTAAAAGTTCACGACCTGACTCTGTGAATACATGGAATGCTAAGAAGATTGTCTCTAAAAAGGTTTTAATAGAGACATTAAAACCTTGCTAATATATTTATATTGTGTCGGAGTTGGATTTAGATGTTAATTCATACTGTTTGCAAATGTAAATTACATGTATTTGTGTTTCAAATGAAAATGATTAACTGTGTTACATAATTAAGTTCCAGCAACTTGCATGCTACAATTTTATAATACTTTTTTATCCTGAACATCCTCTGCACCCACAATGAACACATTCAACAATCCTACCTTCTTCCAACTTGCTTTTTGGTACTCTACAAATGCAGTTTGTGGCAAAATTTGTGTCTCTAGTCTGAATACATCTCAAACAGCATAGATTTTCATAACCAGTTTTCTTCCACTTGGCGATTAGATTTGCATCAGCTATTTTTTCATCTAAGCAATACTGGTAAAGTTCTCTGCTTATAGCTTTCCTTCTATAAAACAAGTCATATATGTATCTAGATTTTTGATGGTGTATTTTGAATATTGGCCATAGAGATTCTTGTTTACGTTTTCCCTCATGTGGCTCTGTTTCGGCTGTGGAGAATAATGACAAGTTAGAAAATTGTACACATTATATAAACGGAATTTACTGTGATATGTTATTTATGAACTCCAGATATTCAGTGCTATTGCAAGTCACTGCTTGTTAGTAAACAATGAAATGTTAAAAGAAATATCTAAGCATATATAGCCCCATAAATAAAAAATAAATAGCCCATAAACAAGAGGGCGGCTCTTAAATTAAGAATGTATGAAATATGTGTCTTCGGTTGTTTACTTTGCGTTTTGATTTGGTTTTCTCTATCAATGAATCAGTAAGGTTAATAATAATAAACACATGAAAGGTTAACGATTTTCGTCGACTTCAGAATAAACCTGGGATATGTTGAAGAGGACAAAAATATCAAACCTTCTCGCATCTTTTGCTCCAATTCTTCTAGAGTGGGTTCGATCAATTCCCATCCTTCTGGTGGCGATTTGCGACTACGGCGAACTTTTGGCATTTCGATATCCTCGTATACTTAATTGTCCAAGATATTAATAATATTGGCAATATTTGAAGTTTACTGATGCTCGATGAAATACAAGATAAAAAACTAGTTTTGAATTTAATAATTAAAATTAAATAAACACAATGCAATGCTTCTTTATATACTGTACTGTCAAGTGTTAACAAACATTGACACTGACAGATTTAGTTGTCAGTTATGTTTTGACAGTAGCTGTTATTTCGGGCTTCATTCGTTTACAATTGTATTGGCAGACAATAGTTTCTATACTATAAATACTTAAAAAAAAATCAGATACTAAAAAATTAATAAAATTAAATAAAAATTGACCCCGAGTATGGCACTAGTTCTTAAGTTAGGTTTAGTTTAGTATTTCTGTAAATGTTTATTCCCACCCTCGAATGGCTTATTTCGACCCAGCTACTCGGGGTTTGTTGCCCCCAGAGTTGATGCCAGGGCAAAGAGGTTCAACCCAACGGTTAGGGGGGTCCGGATGACTAGTATCTGTCCTTCGTAGTTGAATTCAATTTTGAGAGTTGAGTCTAGGTTGAATTTCTGAATTAAGACCCTAAGACTGGGAACATTAACTAAAGTTACATTTCGTTTGTGATGTATAAAATTGTTTTTAGTTCAAAACAATGTGTTTTAAATTTGAGATTATATGAATTATAAACTTAATGGATAATCAAACTAACGAACTCATCGACAAACTTTCTTTTTATAAGACTGGTGTTCATATCATAAGTTTTATTTTAGTTTTTCTATTTGACTTGTGATATAGCCAAATTAGAACCTAAAATTAATTAATGCTCACTAAATTCAGCAATCGATTTAACATGAAACTGTTTTTGCTAACGTTTATTCATCAGGCGTTAGATTAATTTGTAATTAACTGTAAACATGTCGTATTTTTATGTGTGTCTGTTTTTAGCGAAAAATAATTAAACATGAAATAAAAAACCTTTTAATATATCAAAAATATACTTCAAACTTAGAAACATTACAGAAACAACTGACAAAACATACAACAAATACAGTTATTAACATAGGTATTACGGTACTTCCATATGGCTACACATATCTGTGATGCTACACATAGAGATTTAAATAATAAGTTGCTGCTACATTCTTAATTTTATTTAGGTTCCAATTAGTCTTTATTTTTGACAGATAGCCTACGTAGTATATTAAAACTTGTACTCATATCTGCAATTTGAAAATTCTAATTGTAATAATATATTTATTTACATTACTGAATTTGTATATTTTGTTTTTATTTATATATACCTATTATGGAGGTATACTAATCTGATTACTTATAAATTTGAGTACAAAATAAACCAAAAAAAAGTACTTACCTATGCTTTGGTTTAATAATTGCGTATTTATTCTTTATACTTGCTAATATTGTATTAGAACAACCGGATAATTAATTTCTAAAAATATGGGTGTAAAATAGTTGTTTCATTAATGAATGTAATTATCATCGTAAATATTATTTAATTATCTAACAATAAGTATCACTTTTACCTGTGTATAAATAACGGACCCTACCTAACCTACCTACAACACAGGTTAGCATAATCATTATTAAGAGTTGGGATATAAGTTTGTTCCTATCTCACGCGACGCTTTTCCGTAGGTTAGAGAGAGACGCATACAAGTTACGGACCTCGATTAGAAGTCGTGGAATGCGGTGTTGCGCTCGCGCAACCTCCAGTTCGTTCAATCAACCAGTCTTTTTATTCGTCCGCGACAGCGCTGTGACGACACCGGATTTTGGTTTTGCTAAAATACGGTGTAATCAAAATATGTGTGTATACTGCTGTTTTATGAGTGTCTGTTGGTTATTATTAAGTGTATAATAGTGACAACAGTGAAAATATTTGTGTTATGAAGTTTAGTGAAAGTTGACGGAGGTTTTCAAGGAACTTCGGGTGTCTCGTAGCTTATTTACTTGTAAGTCTACTTCTAAAGTAGGTATACCTACGTGTCTGGGTGACGTTGGAGTTTTGTTATTGCCTCCAGCGTTCTACTCATCATTTTTATTAAAAGCTTTTAAATTATACCACTTTAATGTTGATTTAGAATATTTAACTACAAACTACTATTCCTAATTAATATTTTATCACCTATATACAACAAAACGGGGTATTTGTAAATAAATACTAAACGACCTTACAATTCTTATTTCCACGAATTTTCGTCTGCTCGAATCTGCTACTAGAATCTAGATAATAAATAGCAGATAACTGGGTACTGTTTCGCCTTTCTACATACTTTTATTATGAAAGTGACCATTGAATCACGCATTACGTAGTTATGTATTTATTTTTAATAAGCTATTCTGTTTAATACAAAAATTGAACTATCTACAGGTAACTATCTCTATAATGATTAGGCACTTAGGTAACTATCTACGAATTAAGAAAGACGCCTGCAAACATTTTGCTCAATACTTATTCGAAACAAAAAATATTGAGATCGCGTATCGGAATGAAAACTAGGTCAAACAGTGAGCCTAATTTAATAAAAATTGAGAGTTTATCCCGAATTTATTAGTGACACCAGATTTTTATAGTAGTTTGTAAAATGCAAACCAAGCCTGCCCTCTAGGGTTGTTGTGCCAACTCGACGTGACCTCAGTCAATAACCTTGTGTGCCGGTTTCTGAGTTCTTGATAAAGTATAAACACAGCCACACTGGGGGGAAGGGAATTGTTAGTAATGTGGACTGAGGACGCTTGCTAGTAATGTACCATATCAGGATGACCTCCACTCTTACCCCGTGGAAATTATAATAAATTCCTGAAGAATTTACCACGATGGGCTAACTGACCTGACCTTATTCTCATCTTATCACCCTCCATTGGTGCACCGCCAGCGTAATGCGTTAATGCAGGCGGGTGCACCATTCCCTCATCATCCATAAAATAAAATGCACTTAGGACTGAGATAGAGTGATTAATTACTGCGATCTGTCTGTAGTACGTTTCTTGTTTATGGAATGAAGAAAAGATTATGGAATGGTGCACCCACCTGCGGTAACGGTATACACTAGCGGGACAAGTGGAAGATGATAGGACATGAATAAAATGAGGTCAGATAACCCACCGATGCGATGTCACCATTATAGTTAAAAAAACAGTTGACAGTCGATAATTGATTGTTGTGATGTGAGAAGAATTTGCATACTAAATTTTTTTGAGTTTTCTAATCCAAATCGGAGTAAAGATAGATACAAATAGAGAAAATATAACTGAAAACTACATTGGTACTTATAGAAGTCCAAAAATATTTCTGTTAATCGAATTACTGATAAAGGTAAAAATCTATTTATTCCTAAAAATATCAATTTATTTCTAAATATAATTTAAAAATATATTATTTCACCAGGAATTAATCACTGTGGTTTCCAGGGGGAACCGCGTGAAGGTTATCCTAACACATTACTCACAATCCCCCTTCCTAAGTGCATTATCGTGAGATATTATATATTTCACTCGTTGTCCATTGACCGTCATATTGAGACGCAGATTAGAGATCGATCTGAAGGTAGGCATAGGATCAATCTAAAATTGGTCGAAATCTTGGATTGTCGTTATTAATTTCTGACGTGAGCATAATGTAAGCTGCTACAATCCTGATTAACCAAGAAACAAGAAACCTCTTCCGGATGTTGCGTAGGTTGCTTATAAATTTAGTCCTTTCTAGGAATGACTAGACCGGTTATTATGGTCTGCTAGGCAACCACTGAATGGAAATTAAATCTGGTTTCTTGTAATTTCTAGTTTGGAATAGACAAAATAGATTTAAAATAACAAGTATATTAACTTTTATTTGCATTTTTATTATTCTGTGTTTGTCAGAATTTTTGGCATGAACAGAAGTTTTTACAAATTGATTTATTTAAGTTTGATTTATTATATTACCGACTGATGAAAATGTACAAACACAAATTAATTGTCAATGAAAGATTCATCAATTGTCAATGATTTTTAGGTTCGTTAGGTTAGGTATACGTCTTAGATGAATGCAAAAAGTTCCCATGACCTCAGCGATAGGTTTGATGACGAAGAGCCGTCTGATTTTTAGGTGGTCAGAATCCGGTCGGCCGCTAAGCCGGTGGGCCTTTCTGAAGATTATTCTGACATAAATAAAGGTTAGCTGGTATACAATGCCATGTAGCAGTTGCTAATTGTACCCCTTTAAGGTGTAGAGTGCTCCAAAGCAGCAACCACATATAAAAGCAATAATCTATAGTAATAAATGCAGTCTATATTCGAACTATGGAGTAGTCAACGTCCTTCCAACAACAATCAAGTATCCACCCAACGTCTATCCTTTACACAATAAATACGTCTTCTTCTTTCATTTTAATGGCAACTAAATGCACTTTCCCCAGAATATTGCAACAACTTTTGTGCAATCTGTTGCATTTTTTAGATCTTCCTTTGTGCAGTTGATGGGCACAAAGGACAGGACAATAGGTGAGTCATAGTCTGGGATGGTGCTCTGCAGTCGTAAGCCTCCCTTGAAGCGACACCCCATTTTATCAAGTTGTACCTTCAGCGGCCCATCTGGGTTCGCAGTCTCTTAAGCGATTTATAAATACTATTAAATTTATACTTAAATGTTCTCTAGATAAGATTGAGTCCAAACCTGCTACTGCACAAACATATATAATAATATGTAAATTCTATTACTTACCGTCAACACAATATAATTAATCACGGAAGGAAGAATCAGAAATCGTGTAGATTTCAAGGATTCTTTGTTGTATACCCGAGGCGCTCACACTGACGTTAGGTCACGTCTTCTGATCATTACGTTTATTTCAACCGCAGGTCGTGCAGTTATTATTTGCTATTAGGAAAATATATATATGTAACAGAATTACCAATATTTTTATTATCTAAACGGGCTGAGTCTTAACTATATTGAATTCGCAATTAACTTAGGTAATATTCCGCGCAAATTTCTTAGTCTCTAGTTTTTTCTTTCATAAGAAGTCTTCTCCTGACTATACCGAACGCAACAAAAAAAGAGTTAGCGAAATAAGTCCAGTCGTTCTCACGTGATGCCGTGAACAAGGGAAATATAATTATATAGTATTGTACATATAGATATACATATTATAGCAAGAATTTATTTAGCTAAAGTTCATGGCTCCTTTAATTTCATATACATTCCTATGCATTTCTTGAGAATTAAACGCGTTTATACCTAAAACAGAAAAAAACACGTCATGTAAAATTTGAGATATTTTTGTCCAATTGATGATGCTTCTTATTCTGTAATTTCTGCCTAATCTCTCACCAAAGTAGACTAAGATAGTAAGTATCTCAGTCTAACCAATTTCAGCGAAAGGACTAACATGTTAAGACCATGAAATTATTGAACATGTTCTCTTGCAATACGCTTCTTTTGGGAGGCGCTTATATCATTGAAATCTACGTGAGAACTGCCTCATTCAAAAAACTTACGTTTTACTCTTTGTTTGCCCAATCTTAATTAAGTGGAGAATTTAATATTACAAGACATTTTGAACGTTATATACTATAATTTTTATTATTAAATGTGAACCAGTTACTGACAAGTGCCACGGTATTTCACAAGTAAACCTTTAATGTGTTTAATGTTAAGACATAGTTCGTGTAGAATCTCTTTATCTTCTGAGTGTGGGTCAGATCCATATTTAACGTGACATTTTTCGTGACTGATTCATTGTCTCAAAACGGAACATTTATTTAGTTAGCTTAAAAGTTGCGAATTAAAAAATATACCCGATAAATATAAATAGGTCAACTCACTAAATGATTACTTGAATGACGAGTGGGCATGGCAATAGTTGTTCATGCACGGGATTTTCATTCAATGTTAGATATATACACCTATAAAAAAGAAATTCAATTGAGTTTCTAGCCAGTTATTCTCAATTGAATCTGTATACTGAACTGGACGATAGGGAAATAATTATAGAATAAAAAAATTGCTAAAATGTCCTAGGAAAAAATGATTTTTTAATTTGAATTTGAATATATGTAAACACTTTGTTTAGTTTTATTTGTAGGAGAAACTTTGCTCTGATATAGTTGGTGAAGATTTTAAGTAAGAATGAAACTCTTGGCGTGTATTTTTAGATCCACCTTAATTGATGAATATGACAACCGGCCGGCTCGACTACTCAAATTTTCTAAACTAAAATATTTTTGCATACCAGAGTTCATTTCGAGAACACGGTCTCGTTATTATAAAAAGGGATAGTTTCGTTCAAAACGGGACGTCTGGTCACGTTATCCATATTTATCTACGGTGGCAATTTATTATAAGCAATACTATTATTGCTGAGTACACTTTTCAGGGCAGTCTCATCGGTATCAAGTGCTCGGAGATTCAAGACGAATAAATGAATAAGATATAATATATAAATAACTGTGGGAAGCTAAATAGTCAGTTGAAAATATGGGCTGAACCAACCCACTGACAGTTCACAGTCTCGGTGGTCTAGTACAGACTTTTACTTTCTATGGTAGCGGATTTGATTCCTCGCACGATACAAACATTAGTATTCACGATTATGATTGTTCATATTGAAAGAAAATGTAAATGTAAATATCAGTTTAGTACTTATAACGCAAGCTCTATTTATCTTGGGACTAGATGGCGTTGTGTGAATTGTCTAGGGATATTATTATATTATATATCATACGAGAAACGTCTTGATTCACAAATTTGACATGTAACCGTCAACACGCTAGCCACGCTAACCAATTCGATAGAAAGCGGTTGTCTGTTGTGGATTTGTTAGATTTCACTGCTATATTACGAATGTTAAACACTTTCTGATGGCTCGCCAATTAATTTATAGTTATGCACGCATAGAAAATATTACCGAAATACTCGTAATTCTGCTTTCGTGAATAGCGGAAGACATTATTGATGAAAACACGTATTTTA